GGTTGTTTGTAACAAGCAAAACGAATCGAAATAGATATAGACAAATGTATACATAAATGATCAGAATGAAAAGAGAAATCGATTAAGCGGTGACTGTCTGTCCGTCCGTCTGTGCACACGATAACTCGAGTACAAATTGATATATCTTAACGAAACTTGGTATGTGTACTTCTTTTGAGCGTAGAACGGATGGTATTGAAAATAGGCAAAATCGGACGATAACCACGCCTACCTCCCATGCAACGGTAATTTTCAGAAATACGAAAACTGCTATATTTTAATAACTACCGAAGCTTATTCACTTAAAATTGATATTTACAATCATTTTTAGGCGAAAAATAATATTAAACATTTTTGGAAAATGGGCGTAGCCACGCCCACTTATGATTACATGTGTATACCTTGGGAACCGCTCCGCCAATTTCGCCCAAACACAGACACAGTTGTTGGCCTTCACAAAACATACCAAACGGCTGAAAGTTTAAAAAATCGGATAATAACCATGCCCACATCCCATATAACGGTAATTTAGAGAAATACGAAAGCTTCGATAAATCAGTAAATACTGGAGCTAATTTATTCAAGATTGATGTTTGCAATACTTATTTAGCAAAAAATACGCTTATAATAAAATGTTGGAAAATGGGCGTGACCCCGCCCGGTTATGATCACATTTGTATGTGTATCTCGGTAACCGTTCGATCAATGTGTACCATCTCGGGACGATTATTGTGGTTGCCTAATAAAGGCAAAGTTATCGAAATCGGACTAAAATTACGCCCACTTTTTCATAATGGTAAATTTTAGAAATGCTTGAAACTTCGATATTTCGAAATTTAAGGACGCTAATTTTACCCAAACAATCCCTTGAAAAGAAATAACATTATTATTGAATTTTGGAAAATGGGCGTGATTCCGCTCACATATATCTATATAAGTTTATCTCATTATATCTAACTGAACGTTCTATCGAAGATGTTTGAAATAGGGGTAACCCCACCCCTGCTTAACATGTAGCGGTAGTTTTCGAAAAGGTGAAAACTATATTGAATACTTGCGCCGGGTATTTAGTATTCGGCTCCGCCCGAACTTAGACTTTTTTACTTGTTAAGAAATAATTTAGGTGAGTACATTAGGTGATTTAGTTAAATAAAAAATGTAAAGGTTAGTTATTTTTAGTAATGTTTTTTTTTTTTTGTACTTGAATTTAAAAATTGGAACATTGTATCCAATCAAAAGTCTTTAAAGGGTCGTAAATCAGGGCCACTAAATAACTGCTCGCTCGAGGCGACAAACTTGAAAAACTTTAAACTTGACAAAATTGTAAATTATTTTCGATTGACGCTGCACGAGTCGAGAGGACTTTCAGTTATATTTATTGTTTTTTTTTTCGATTTTAGTTTTTGTAATTCATTTTTAATCCTTTCTTCTGTGACTGGCCAGATATACGTAATAATAAAAGTTTTTTCGCTTTTTCGCAGCTTATCAAAATTAACCAAATTTTATATCATGTGAAAGAGGACTGAAATAGCTTTTAAACCTCTATTTATATTTTTTTTTTTATATCATTTCATACTAAAGAAATTCAAATACCTGACCCAAGGTTTGTTCTATGGTAATTAGTTAACATTTTTTATTGAAAATTTTTTCGGTAGGTGGCTTTGCTCGTTTACACATATCAGTTTTAAAGCTATTTAAGTCCTCTTTCATTTGATAGCAAACTTGTTTAATTTGGATAAGCGGTTTGATTACTATCCGGAAAGGACTTTTAGTCGGGAATAAATAATATTTGGCCAAGTTTAGCTCGTAAAAAAAAAATAACTGTAATTTCCTGTCCCTTCAATATTCGCATTCGCAAAAGGTCCGCATTGATTTTTGCGAATGCGAAAGCGAATGCGAATGTTAAAATTAATGCGGAAGCTCCGCGGCTGCGAATGCGAATATTCGCAACAACCCTGGCATGTATACATGTACATATGTATGTATATCTATTCCCCTGTCCTATTATTTGCTGAATGCCACTTAACTCATAAATTTCCACAAAATTATGCAGTACTCAAAATTACATAACTCATTTGTGTCAATATTAGCATAATTAATTTGCATTGATTGCGTATAAATTAAGTAATTAATTTTACACATACACGTACATACATACATACATATTTACTAAAGTACTTGTGTAAGTACAAGAGTACTTAAACAAAATGCAATCGCTTTATTGCCTACAGTACTTACATATGTACATATGTACACATGAGTACAAGCAATTGAATCTGACAGGTGCATTCAAAATCATTCATCGTTGTGTTAACGCATAAATGCCTACATGTATGTATGTACATATGTACACATGTGCGTATGTAAGTATACAAAAGTATACATTTATGAATATGAATATATGTGTGTCAATATAAAGGGTGCCTTGAAATAAATACAAATATGACAAAAAAAATCTCTACATGCTACATATATTTTAACACATACTGAGTACGCGGTACTCGTGAAATTTGATGTGTAAACATCTATATCCCCAAAATGGTCCTTCGAAGTCGGCGTAGAACTGTAGATCGCTCCTCTTTGTGTGACAACAACATCAAGGCTAGATACCGGGAGGAAAGATGTTTACACGTCAAAAAGAAAAAAGTGAAGCCCAGATTTTGTTGATATTTAGAAGAATCGTTGATATTTATAAAAAACAAGAAATAGGTTCATACAATATCTTTGAATTATAAGTTGGTAACACTGACCAAAAATTAATGATACCTTCAAAGTTAGCTGATACCATTTTGAGATACCCTTTGAAATGCATAGAATAACCATCAGCAAATAAACACCGGACAATGGGTGGTGTAAACTTTTAACTGTGTACATACACAGCTACAAAATGAGTATTTACTAAACTTCACTTCAATAAGTCAGTAATCAACACACTTTTGTACATACATACATACATATTTAGTATGCCCGGCATGTAACCACCAGTAGCATGTACAAGTATCTCGGTTTGCACTTATGTTGCACTTGAATTTCTGTAGTTTGTGAAGTGTTAGGAAGTTCTTCATTTGAAGTAGTTGTCTACTAAACTTAATCCGTTTTTTATATACAGTATTTATAGAGACTTTATAGCCACAAGAACGCAAGAAAATATACATATATGTAGTATTCCTTAATCAAAAAATGAATCGTGGATAGTTTCTTGTTTTTTCTTGTTCATTTTAATTAACAAAGGCAGTGATAAATTTCAGAAAATGTATGTTTTTCCATACATTCAGAGGAAAATAGATACTCAGCAAAAGATGCGAATATCACGAACTGAGATTATCAACAGCTCTGTGGTATTCGTTTGATGGTGGTTTAAAGTTCAAAAGAAGAATGGAAGCCAGAAGTTTGCCCACTCTCAATGAAGTAGTTTGATGTTCTGAGGTGTCATTCTCTGTCAACTATCACCATATACTCCGGTACTCAGTTAACAAAAAAAAAACCCCTTATGTCCAATTGTAGACTGCAGGCAGCTTTTGTTGTGTCTACTCTTACCCTACTCAGCAAGCACTTCTCCAGTATCCGCTGTCTTGCTATTTAGCTCATCGGTCATGTAGGTATTTACCGTCAATATCGCTGCAGTCTGGAACCCATATTAGCTTTAAAGCGAAGCAATCTGATGTGATCGAAAGGGAATTTCCTGACGGTTTTCGAACTTACGCACATGTCATCTATAGACCAAGGACCGTAATTACCGCCTGGCTCTGAGAATATACCTACGTTCTTTCTACATTCATTATATTGTAAGCAATCTGCTTCCTTTACGGCGGCTGTCCCCAATTCGAAAACGCTGCTGTGATGTGGAAGCCAAAACTTTCGATAGATGGAGATTTCCTCGCAGCGGACACCTTCACTCGCCATCCCATCCAACTTCGCTCCATACGTGAATAAACTCATAAGACCTTGGCTCCAAATACTTTATCCCGCTCATCGGATGTAGTGATCGGCATACTATGTAATGAGTTCGAAACTTTGTACTTAGCCAGTTATTTTCTACATGTAATCAGTAGGTGGCGCTGACGTCCATATGTTAAAAGCAAAGTTAGTCTTCATGTACAGATTTTGTTCAAGAAGTACTTATTTGAAAAAAATAAATAAATAAAAAATTATTATCCAGCTGACGCTGTTGCCACAGCAGTTGGAGAGAAATCACCCCACAGATAGGCCAATATAGGCAAATCGTTTTTATGCTAAAAAGTTCGATCTACAAGACCATGAAAGATTGATTTGCCAGGTGAGCGTAAGCTTTTTCTATAAAAAGCCGCTAAATGACTTGAAAGCTGTTGTACATTTTTTCTTCTTCTATGTTATTCATGAGTCGTGTCCGCCCCTAGTCTCATGGTGTCAAAGACTTTGCGTTTGTCTTTGTCTTTGTCTTTGTCTTTGTCTTTGTCTTTGTCTTTGT